AAAGAGATACTCATTAACTCAAATGGAGCCTGATGGATGTTATTTTTTGAGTGGAATGTCCTTCCCAGGTTCTTTGCCCAGACCAGTGTAGCCGGCCCCTCCAAGGATTCATCCCTGAGGGGCAAGATGTACTGGCACAGGATCCTCCACAGGTCCAAAAGCCAGTAGTCTCTGATGATGGCACTCAGCAAAGATGGCTTAAGTGAATGGACAATGTACCACGGGCAGCCTGTCTTTTGTGCCTTTGGAGTCCTTCCCCACTGGGGCTGGGTCCTATCTTTGCCCTGGTGGTCTCATACAATGCCATTGGTAAGCTAGAAGACAGGGAATACCTGTTTGTGACCAATGGGGACGAGCAGAGATGGGAAGAATAAGAGTCCTTTGTTCCACCATTCTCCCCACCAGGAGCAGAGGGGAAGAGGAGGAAGGGCTGGTCAGAGTATAATCTGACCCAAATTTCTGTTTAGATCACTCATCAATTGACCCCTTTTCCTTTCATAAATCATCAGTTTACCTCTCTACTGAATGAAACCCACCAGTATACAAATATGCTGCAATATCTCCCACCTAAAAAAAAAAAACACATTTTTTTGTCCAATCCCATATTGTCATCCAAGATTGCCCCATTTCTCTATTGTCTTTTACTGCAAAACTTTAAAATGTTGCTTTAATCATTAGTGCCAAATCAGTTGCTTTCTATTCCAACCAGGACTTTGAACCCACTATACCTCCTTATCAATATCATTCATGACCTTGGGTTGCCCTATCCAATAATCAGTTCTCAGTTATCCCAATGAAACCCCTGGACCAAACAAACACAGTTGAACACTTTCTCCTTGAAATACTTTCTCAGAACACTATTCCTACCTCAGAGCTCTGGTGGCACAGTGGTTAAACCATTCGGCTCCTAACCAAAGGGTCAGCAGTGGGAACCCACCAGCCACTCTGCAGGAAAAAGAGGAAGCAGTCTGCTTACATAAAGATTTACACATAGCTTTGGAAATCCTATGGGAAGAAGCAGAGATGGGGAAGAGGAGTCAATACTCTTTGTTCATCATTCTACCCACCAGGAGTAGTTGTACTCTGGGACAGTTCTTCTCTGTCCTACAGGGTCACTGTGAGTTGGAATCAACTCTACAGGCAGGGGAAGAATAGACATTCCCGCCTCATTGGCTGCTCACTTTCTTAGTCTCTTTATATGGTTTCTCCACGTGTCTCCAATTTTCAAACACCTCCAGGCACACTCAGAGTCACTCTGAGCTTCTTCTCTGTCTATACTCACTCTCTTGGTCATTCATCCATTCTCACGCTACTTTCATTTATACCTTTAGCCCTGAACTCTGGACTTGCATGTCTAACACTTGAATATACATCTCAAAAATTTCTGAAACTGAACTCCTGATTCCTCCCCTGCCATAACCTGCTCTTTCTGCAGTCATCCCCATCTCAGCAAATGGCAACTCCATCTTTTCAGTTGCTCAGAGCAAAAATCTTGGAATTATCCTTGACTTGTCTCTTTTCCTTATCCTCCACATCAAGTCTCCCAGCAAGTGTTGTCCCTCTCTCTTGAAAATATATGCAAAATCTGAACCATTCTGACCACTCCACTACTACAACAACACTGGATTTCTTGCCTGAATGACTGCAATAACTGCCTTTCTTAAACAAAAGTCAGACTATTTCATTCCTCTGCTTAGAACTCTTCAGTGGCTCCCAATTCACTCACAGCAAACCCAAAATCTTTACAGTGCCCTACAAAGCGCTATCTCGAAGGAAGATGGGACAATCTACTTTTGTAGTGATACTGCCTTGGACCCAAGGAGGGGTCTCTGTGAGTCGTCCGATTTGATGGCGCATAACAACACCAACAACAACACAAAGCCCTATATGATCTGACTCTGCTTCTCACCCTCCAACTTCACTGCCTACCACTCTCCCGCCTGTGGGTCACCCCCCCTCCAGTCACACTGGCACCTTTACTAATTCCTTGAACACTTGAAGCAAGCTCCTGTCTCAGGGTCTTTTCACCTGCTTCCCTGTCTTCTGGAATGCGCTTCCCCGGGTATCTCCATGCATTTGCTCCCTCATTTCATCCTCCCTCCCCCCTTATATAAAACAGAGCTCTGGTGGCTTGTGGCTAAGACATTTGACTGCTAACCAGAAGGCTGGTGGTTCACACCCACCGCCTCAGAAACCCAAGGAGCGATCTGACTCAATGGCGGTGAGTTTGGTTTGGGTTCTCCTTTTCTTACCCCTCTTTGTTTTTCTCTTTATCACTTTTGACCACGGTAACTTTAAAGGCTTGAAGGAAAAAAAAAATCAGCAACAAACCTGTCCCCTGGAATAGGGATAGAAGAAGGATGTCAGAGGGGAAAAGAGTTTTGCTTTGACGTGGGAGTCTGGAGACCAGAGGACCAGGGCTTTGAGTTTGTGGATGAAGGAGCCTGTCTTCCTTTGAAGCACCAGCAGGCGGCACCACCTGCTTGAGCTCATCCATCAGCCTGGGGTGGGGAAGGAGGCAAAGTTCTGTCTAGGATAATCCTACAGATATGTTGGGGCCACTGTTGCATGCGGGCGTCATCCCAAGAGTCCAGCACAGTTGGGCTTTGGACTCTTTGGTGCCTCTGGGTGGTGGCCTCCGGCGCTGCAATAGAAAGCATGAGAGGGAGAGGGTGGCCAGCACAGCTGAGCTCACCGCTGTGGGCGCATCCATCCCTCCTGGGCCTATAATTTGGGTTCCCCAGGCCTGGCCGCCCCTATCAGCGGCTCAGTAGCGATGAGTCACCCGGGACCCTGGGCCAAGGCAAACACAGGGGGAGGGGGAGGAAGAAGAGGAGGTTCCAGAGGCAGCGCTGAGCTTTAGCCACCGCCTCAGTTGCTCGATTCCCCTATCTCCAGTGCCCCCCCCTTTTTTTTACCCCCTCCCATCCTCCATGGCCCCAGTGTCCTTCTCAAACTTCTGTCTCTACCCCCTCCAACCTCATGATGGGGAGGGTGACCTTTGACTCCTCTTTTAGAGGGGAAAGGGGACCAGCTCACTCTTGCCTCCTCCCCTCCTTGATGACAGCCCCCCACTTCCCTCCTCAAGTCAGAGCCCCAAGGTCTCCCTGGTTCCCGCCCCTCTGCTTTCCTGGAGCTGGCCGCGTGCTTGGGGTATTAGGCAATGGGTGTGCACCCAAGGCCCTCTCCAGGCCCCGCCTGTCCCACCGCCCTCCAGCCGCCTGTGGGTCAGCACTCAGGCCAGCCGGTCGGTCGGTTGGGCTGAGGGCACTGCGGGCCAGCTCAGGCCACCCAGAATGTCTGCCTGTGGCCTCCTGTCCCAGAGCCGGGCTCCAACCTAGAAAGAAAGCAGGAATATATAGGTCCTTGGATTTAGAACAGCCCTGATTGGGGAGCCCAGGAATCATTGAGAAGTTGGGAGCATAAGGCTAGCAGTTCTGGCCCCTGCCCCTCCTGAGCACCTGACTCCATACTAGAGCTTGTCAAGGGCAGAATCAGAAGGCAAAAAGCAGTATGACTCCTGAAGGAGACCCAGAGACACATGGAGAAGGATATATGTCCACAAGTTCTCCCATGGAGACACGGGGCCTAGGAAATGACATCTTCTTCCCCCTTCTCCCAGAGCCTGAATAGAGTGCTACGCTGAAGCACAGGCAGAAGGATGAGGGTACTTTTGGGGTCACTGAACCCAGGTGTAAGGATGAAAGCTACCTAAATAGGGCTTGCAGATTCTGGTGACCTCAAAAGCCACACAGGGTTTGGTGCTTGGCCCCTAAAAGGGGAGGAAGGGCAGGAGCTCCAGGGTTCCCAGAGATGGGGAAGCAGAGCAGAGCCCTACCTGGTTGCTGCTGCCCAATGTCGGGGACTGTGGGACTTCCCCCACCCCCCAGCCTGCTCACGTCCAGGGCCATATAGATGGTCAATAACTGTCCCAAGGAATGTGGCTGACCTTTCTCAGACTGCTCTGCCCCCTGCACTGCGGTGCACCCTGCAGCTCTGGGGAGGATCTGCAGCAGGACCACTGGAGGCTGAGTTCCGATGCCCAGCAGAGCTGCCAGGCCATTGCCAAGGAACAGTTGACTGTGGCTGTGGGTACCAGTCCTGTGGCTCCGCTTCCCCAAATGCTGGTCTCTGAGTCAACTAGCCAGCCTGGGGTGCACGGGGCCAGCAGTTCTTTGGGCTGCGGTCTGGCAGGGGTGGGGGTGGGGGGGCTCTGGGAAGCCTGGGGGCCCTCTCTGGCAAAAATAGCCCAAAGTGGTTAGAGCTATGAGGGTGAGTCAGGCAGTTGTGCGGTGGCACCTAACCCCTTCGCTGCCGCCATAATTCCTTAAGGCTGTGCCTCTGTCAGTGTCCCTGAGAGCAGGCTCTTTCCTGGCTGCCCTTGCTGGACTCAGTTTGGGATCTAGACGCCTCCCTCATCCCATGTGAAGCAAGTCTGGTGAGTCTGGAGCAGGAAGGTGGGCCACTCCGAGTGCAGACCCTGGGGTCCTGAGTTGGGCAGGGAGCCTCAGAACGCAAGGATACCTGCAAGCTGAGGGAAGCTACAAGCTGGTTGAGGACCTTTGGGGCTACTGGAACCTCTGCCAGGGCCAAAGTCAGGCCAAGGCTGACCCCTCCCAAGGGGCAGGCACAGGGCTGGGAGATGGGCGGGAGCCCAGCGGACCAGACGCGCCTCTCCTACGGGCTCTGAGTGCCCTCTATACTCTCAAGCTGTGTACTCCACTTGAGGCTGCCCAACGCCGGAAATCGGTTCTCAGCTCCTTCCGTAGCTTGCCAAAGGAGCCCTCCAGTTACCAGTTTTTGGTAGGGAAACTGAGGCAAGGAGAAATGATGAAAGACTTGGCCACTTGGGCCAGGTATCTCAGCTCCCCAGTCTGGGTCACTACACCCTCCTTGCAGCCATGGAGACCCCAATGCAGGTGAGGGGAACTCTGGCCACCTCTCCTTCAGAGGGGCCAAGCCCTAAACGGGCGTGGGGGAGAGGGTGTGTGTGTGTGTATGTGTGTGCGCGCGTGTGCTGGGAGGAGGGGGAATAGATGCGTTCTCCGGTCAGGGCGGGTGTGCAAGGGGTGTGGAAGGGGGATGCCCTGGGCTCAGGGAGGGGCCGCAGCTCCTCAATCCCGGCAGAGCCGCGGGGGAGCTCCGCGCGATCAGAGCCGGAGCCCCCAGTTTTTGCTCCTCGGCTTGATAGCTCCCTCGATCGTTCCCTCCCTTCCTCCCACCCTTCCTCCCCGCGGCCGCCCCGGCGCTGGGGAAGCGGCGAAGAGGAGTGGCCCTGCCCTGGAAGAATGTGGCTTTGCCGAGGGGACAGAACCCGATGCAGTCTCCCCACGCTCTGAGCAGCGCGGAAGCGACCCTACCGCGCGGGACGCGGACCCCGCACCAGAGCCGCTGGAGGTACTCGGGAGCGGGTAACAGCAGGCAGGGGAGAGATGCTCACTCGGGAAGAGACCGGCACGCGGACAGACAGACAGACATGCATCTGCCTACAGGGTCACAGAGACTCGGAGGCAGCTAGAGATACTGCCAGAGCGAATAAAGGAATGCTCCCAGATTTGGAGGGCATTGAACGCGAGAGCAAAGGGGTGGGGACTGAGGCTGGAACCCATGGGGACCAGATGGGCCGCGCGCGGAGGAGGGGAGCGTGCAGTTAGGAAGGGGGTGGGGGACCGGGAAGAAGACTCAGTACGCGCCACGGTCCCTTTCAGACAGGAACCACGTCCCGGTCCTCCTCTTTGCCGCACCTCTCCTCCTTCCTGCCTAGGAGGAGGGAGGACAGTGGGTTGGGAAGACCATTCCTTCTGCCCTCGACGGCACGCGGGGGGGTGGTGACACCCCTCCTCCCGCCGGCTGTTGGTGGTGGGGAACCCCCTCTGGACCCCGCCCCCAGCTCTGGAGGGGCGTGAAGCTGGGTTGGGCGGGGGCAGCAATCCTTGGGCCCTCGGAAAGGGGGAGGTGGGAGAGGCGGCGGCGCGGGTGTTGCGTTTGTGTCTGGGTTTGCACATGTGTCTGTGTGCCCGGCATTGTGTCTGCCTGGGTGGGGCGCCAGGGGCGCTCTCGTGAGTAGGGAGCTGCAGCGCGGCGACTCTTCCTCCTTTAGCCCTCCAGGACGCAGGGACTCTGGATTTTAAGGGGTAATTCTTACTGTGGTTCATTTGATTTGGGGAAGCGTGAGAAGAATCAGTGGGGTGGCACCGGTGGGTTAGAGGCTCGAAATAGGGCACCCTTCGTGCTGCGGCGAGACACCCGATTCTGGAGCTGCCTCAAGTCGCCCTGTCTGTCCCACAGGCCCTGATCGATCTGCCCACCAGGGCCTCCGGGCCGGGCTTCGACATGCTGGAGGAGCCCCGGCCGCGGCCTCCGCCCTCGGGCCTCACGGGCCTCCTGTTCCTGGCACTGTGCAGCCGGTGAGCGGTCCCCTCAATTTCCTAGCCCACCAGAGAAAGCTCAGGCCCGGGGCGGGGAGAGCCGGAGGGGATGCACAACCTGACCACAGACCCCAGCCTCCCTCTCCGTCCCCAGGGCTCTCAGCAATGAGATTCTGGGCTTGAAGCTGCCTGGCGAGCCGCCGCTGACGGCCAACACCGTGTGCTTGACACTGTCCGGCCTGAGCAAGAGGCAGCTGGGCCTGTGCCTGCGCAGCCCCGACGTGACGGCGTCCGCGCTGCAGGGGCTTCACATCGCTGTCCACGAGTGTCAGCACCAGCTGCGCGACCAGCGCTGGAACTGCTCGGCGCTCGAGGGCGGCGGCCGCCTGCCGCACCACAACGCCATCCTCAAACGCGGTGAGCCGGGCGGCGGGTCTGCGCCGCCGGGGCTGGGGCTGGGGGGCAGGCCGAGGCGAGCGGAGGCGGGAAGAGACCAGTTCACCGCTCGTGGAGGGCCTCTCCCGGGAATTCCCCCTCACCCCCCCCCCAAGCCTCCTGAGCCGGGTCTGGCCACCCGTCTCGGGCCCTGAGCGCCTGACTTCCACCTGTGCGCTGCCGGCAAGGCAGCTGGGTCCGGCTCCCTTACCCCAGGGCCCCCTTCCCTGCCTCCGCCCAGCTCGACCTGGATTGCACCTGTGCATAAGACATGCCCCCAGTCCTGGAAGCTTCAAACATCCCCCCCCCCATCCTTCCTCTGTTTTTTTTCCCCTTCCCTCTTTTGGAGACAAGCCCGGGCTGGTGTCCCCAGAGCCTTAGCGGGGGTGGAGAGACGCCCCCAGCTGTTTAAGAGTTAAAGTTGCTCCCCTAATTGCCGGGGTTCCCAAGAGCTGAAGCTGGGAACAAAGACCCTGATGGCTTTGAAGCTGGGGAGCAGCCCCCTCCTCTCTGCTGTGGGGGCCCCAGGTGGAGCTCACCTGAGCAGGTGAAGTAAGGTTGGAGGGGCAAGAACAGGTCACTACGGGCCTGGTCTGGGAGGCATTCTGCCTTTTTCTCCATACCTTGGAGAGCTTACTCCCTGGAGGTGTAAAGATCCAGGGGCTCTGGCTTGGCCCAGGGGTGGGGGTAGTGCTCTGGGGACTATGGGGTTAATAGGCAGCTGCCATCTGCAGGGGAATTCCCAAGACGTGTGTGAACAGCTTCACCCCTGGAGGGTTGGGGTTGGGGGGATTGGGAGGTTGGGCCAGGAGCCCTGCATCCTGGGGTGGGAGAGGCCTGGCCACTAAGGAGGTGCTGCTGTCTCTCATCTTCCCAGGTCTCCAGAGAGTCTGTGGCTGAAAGGAAGTGAGGGACACCCTTTTTCTCCACAGTCCTGATGTGGAGGAAGGCTTTAATGCCCAAATGCTAAGCAGGTTTTTCTAAGCCTGGGAAAGCCTTGTCATCTTGAGCTTCTGTGACCCCCAATTTGTAACAAAGAAACCAACTTTTTAAGAGAGCCTCAGGGAAAACCACCCCCACACACACACCCTCCTAGTGTTTTATAGGGTAATAGTAGGTTAGGATAAACATAAAGGGCAGTCGTGAAGGACAAATATAAAACCAGAACCTGGGAAAGGCAGCTCCAGTGCTTTGGGGAGTGGTAAGGTGGTAGAGGGTAGGTTGGTTAAAAGACTAAAGCTATCCTGAAGCCAAAAACAGAGACCTCTGCTCACATCCCACCCAAGCTCCCTACAGGGCTGGAAAGTTTCTAAGGCTTTGAAAGTAGAACTCTGGGACTCTCTCAGTTATCTCTCAACTCTAGGATCTCTTCCTCTGGGGTAGCTCTTGCATCCATACTTGAAACTCACACATTAACAGAGTGAAAATAGGCCTCAGAGATTATCTTGACTCATCCTTTCCCTTTACAAATGAGAAAACTGAGGCCTTGTGCTCTCTGTACCCTTCCCTCTCTAGTGTCTCCCAAATTACTCAGCTGGTAAAAGGCAAAGCCAAGACAGATTCACTTAGGAATTTCTTGAATTGGAGGGCGGCTGTTGATTCACCTTTCCTCCCCAGGTACTTGTCAACCTTATCCCCACCATTACACCCTTCTCATCCCCAGGTTTCCGCGAGAGCGCCTTTTCCTTCTCCATGCTAGCTGCAGGTGTCATGCACGCTGTAGCCACAGCCTGCAGTCTGGGCAAGTTGGTGAGCTGCGGCTGTGGCTGGAAGGGCAGCGGTGAGCAGGATAGGCTGCGGGCCAAACTGCTGCAGCTGCAGGCACTGTCTCGGGGCAAGAGCTTCCCTCACTCTCTGCCCAACCCTGGCCCTGGCTCAAGCTCCAGCCCTGGCCCCCAGGACACATGGGAATGGGGTGGCTGTAACCATGATATGGACTTTGGAGAGAAGTTCTCTCGAGATTTCCTGGATTCCAGGGAAGCTCCCCGGGACATCCAGGCACGAATGCAGATCCATAACAACAGAGTGGGGCGTCAGGTATGTGTGTCCCTAGCCTTGAAGGCCAGGCTAGAGTTTGAGAGGCCCAGCAGAATAATAGGATGAGATGTAGAGGGTGACTGCCACTCACCAGCTAGGTAGCCTCAAGCAAGACACTCAACTCAGTTTTGCATCTATAAAAAGAGCTTAATGATAGCTACCTTACAATATTATTAAGACTGAGCTGGTGAGTAATGAGGGGACAGTGGTGATTCAATGGTAGAATTCATGCTTTCCATACAGGAGACCCAGGTTCAGTTCCTGGCAAATGCACCTCAGGTGCAGCCACCACCTGTCTGTCAATGGAAGCAGTCTGTCAGTGGGTTGCCATGATGCTGAACAGGTTTCAGTGGAGCTTCCAGACTACGACAGACTAGGAAGAAAGGCCTGGTGGTCTACTTCTGAAAAATCAACTCAATGAAAACTCTAGTTCACAATGGTCTCATCCTGCTATGCATGGGGTTCCCATGAGGCTGCTGGTAAACAACAGCAAGTAGTGAACCCACCATAAAGCCTAGTGCTCGACAAGTACTCATGAAATGGTAGCTATAATTATGGCTGCCTTCCCTAGAATATGAGCTCTGGTGGCATAGTGCCTAACCAGAAGGCACTTTTCAGAAGGAAAGTTGAGCCATCTACTTCTGTAGAGATACCACCTTGGAAACCCAAGGAAGGGTCGCTATGAGTTGGAATGGACTCGACAGCAATGAGTTTTTTTTTGTTGTTGTTTTGGTTTCCCCAGAATGGAGCTCTGGTAGCACAGTGCCTAAGGCACCTGACTGCTAAACACAAGGTTGGTGGTTCAAACCCACCAGCCACCCCATGGAAAGAAGACTGGGCAATCTACTTCTGTAAAAATTTACCACATCAGAAACCCAATGGGGGTCCCTATTAGTTGGAATTGATTAGATGGCAGTGGGTTTGGTTTGGTATGGTTTTCTCTAGAATACTTAGGAGTGCTTCAGGCCGGACTCTCCATTTCAGCAGTGCTCAGTTTGGAAAGCACACTGGATTGGGAGTTGGGACAAGTGGAGTTGAACTTTGCTCTTAGTGATTGAAGATGGCAAGTCACACTGCTCTGGCTTTAGTTCTCCAACCATAAAAGGAGGGAATTGGGCTTATAACTAACTTCAAACTGCCCTTCATGGTCATGCTTGCCTCCATTTGTCTCTTTCTGTGCTGTTTTTCATCTCTCTCCTATGTTTCTGTGCTCTGCTCATTTGCTGTTCTTCCCTCTACCTCTGGCCTCTCTGATGCTCTAGGTGGTAACTGAAAACCTGAAGCGGAAATGCAAGTGTCATGGCACATCAGGCAGCTGCCAGTTCAAGACATGCTGGAGGGCAGCCCCAGAGTTCCGGGCAGTGGGGGCTGCACTGAGGGAGCGGCTGGGCCGGGCCATCTTCATTGATACCCACAACCGCAATTCAGGAGCCTTCCAACCCCGCTTGCGGCCTCGTCGCCTCTCAGGAGAGCTGGTCTACTTTGAGAAGTCCCCTGACTTCTGTGAACGAGACCCCACTGTGGGCTCCCCGGGCACACGGGGCCGGGTCTGTAACAAGACCAGCCGTCTACTGGATGGCTGTGGCAGCCTGTGCTGTGGCCGTGGGCACAACATGCTCCGGCAGACACGAGTTGAGCGTTGCCATTGCCGCTTCCACTGGTGCTGCTATGTGCTGTGTGATGAGTGCAAGGTCACAGAGTGGGTCAACGTGTGCAAGTGAGGGCCAACCTCCTTGTGGGGCTGGGAAAAGGGAGTGTGTGGGAGTGGTACCTTTTCAGCCCTTTGCTCTGATTTCAGTCCAGGGTCAATCTTGGTCCCTGGAAGCTCCAAGTGTCTCCCTGAAAACAGTTTTGGGATGGTAGGGGCCAGGTGGAGGCTGTGATGTGCAGCTTATCCCCCACAGTTGGAGGGCCTGGGGTGGAGCTGTCATGTCTCTTCTGCTCCTTAAATACCTAAATGGACTAAAATGAAATGCACTGTATTGACCCCGAACTCCAGGGCCCCTTTAATCCTGGTTCATACTCCTTTTGGCTGGGGAGTCCTTATAGATTGACCACTCTTCTCCCTGGAGGGATAGTCTCAGGCATTGTGTGGAGCCATAAGATCTGTATCCAGAGAGAGACCACCTACTCCTATTTATGGTACGGTTCCCAAACTCCTCTACTGCAGCCTGGGCCCCCTCTCGTGAGGTAATGGGAGATAGCAGTCGAAAGGCTTTTCTTGGAGAAGGGACAGAGGTGTTCTCCTCTGAGTCCTCAGAGAGTTGTCTGTCCAAGCCTTAGTGAAGCTGTCTTCATTCAGATGTTAAAGGGGGATTCTCCAAAGGAAGAGTTGTACTTAAAAATTCTGAGCCTCTTTTTCCTTTTTCAGCTGGAGGGGTGAGAATGGATAATTTATTGTACTGAGATTTGTTTTGGGTTCCTATTTGTAACTAAAATAAATTAAGTTACTGGACCAGTGGATGCAGATGATGATATTTCTGCCCACATATGGGATCCCAGTCTATGACTTCATTTCCAGGTAAATTCTCCTACCTTCCTACACTCAGTAACTTTATGTATAACCTGCCTGGTCTCACAAAGGATTTCAAATGGTCTTTGGTGACTTAGTTGGCAACTTGTAGTGTGGAAAACCAGAGGGGACTTCTGGGTGGGCAGGGCTAGACTTTCAAACTTAGGCTCTATTTACTCTTGGTATGCCTCAACTCTAGAGTTCACCTTAGTCATTGCCCTACAACAAGGATCAGCACTTTTTTTTTTTTTGTTTTTTTCTGTAAAGGGCTTGTAAAGGGCTAGCTAGTTAATATTTAGGTTTTTGGGTTTTGTCATCACCACTCAACTCTGCTGTTACAGATAAAAAGCAATCATAGACTATATATATAAATGGGCATGGCTATGTCCAAATAAACTTAATTCACAAAAACAGGCCATACAGCTAGATTTGGCCCTCTGGCTAGAGTTTGTTGACCTCTGCCCTAGACAATGAAGTTGCTTCTGTTCTGGACTTTTCAAGTCCTGAATGGATCTCAACACTAAACCTGGACCCAAAAAAGCATCTCTGGCATCAAACTAAAGAACTTGAAAGGTAGATGCAAGACTAATGAGAGACATATAAAAGGGATCACTATGCTCAAAACAATCTTTTTTTTTTTTTTTTTTTTGCTCTGGAAACCAGCATGCCTTCCCAATGAATTATTTGCCTATGTGTTTTGTCCTTCCTTACTGAGGGTTCTTCTGCATTTAATCTTAGTAAAATAATTTTATCTTTTAAGAGATAATGTTAACTACAGAGAACAGAACTTATTTTTTTCCAACTTTTTATTCTTAGCTCAATATCTTTGAAACTGTTATCTTTCCAAGATTCAGTGCAGAAAAAGGATATGCATGGCACATTTCCAAAACCAAACTCATTACCCTCGAGTGGATTCCAACTCATAGAGGGTTTCCAAGACTATAAATCTTTATGGAGGCAGATTGCCTCATCTTTCTTCCATGGAGTGGCTGTCAGTTTTGAATCACCAACCTTTTGGTTAGGAGCTCTGGTAGCGCAGTGCCTAAGGCACTTGGCTGCTAACCAGAAGGCTGGCAGTCAAACCCACCAGCCACTCCTCGGAAGGAAGGCTGGGCAATCTACTTCTGTAGTGATACTGCCTTGGAAACCCAAGGAGGGGTCGCTTTGAGTCAGGTCTGACTTGGCACATAACAACAACAATCACCTTTTGGTTAGCAGAAAAATGCCTTCACCACTACCTCACCAGAGCTCCTAATGGCACATTTAGAATGCTACAAATCACTGCATATTTATGGGGCTGCCAGATGCTAACTCAAACAGGTTATCTCCTTGGCCAGGGAAGGTAGAAATGGTTCTCTTCTCTCCTGGATGCAAGATATATCTTTTACTTAAATTATCCTCAAAATTCAATGAAAGGGTAAGATGCACCACGGTAGCAGGGAGATTTTGAGGAGCATTGGGTTAAGGCAATACTTGATGTCCTGAATTTCCATTAAGCATTGGGAATTCTGGGTTTGGAAATTTGACGTAGGCAGGATGATATCCCATCCTTAGTTCTGGCACTGACTGAGATTAATGTATGTATAGGAGGAGAGGGGAGTGCAGCTAGAATGGGCATAGGGTATGGGAGAGGATATTGATAAAGTCTGTCCAGAATGAGAATTTCTCACACTCAGGAAGAATGAGGAGAATCTCCAATAGAGTCCTAGCAACTATATTTCAGCTTTTTCCTTCTTCTGTATTCCCTTTGACTGTTTCTAGTTTTCCCTCTTCTTTCGTCAGACACACTTTGTGGCAAACTTAAGCCCCAAACCACAACCTTGAGAAATTCCAAATGGATTTTGTCAGCAAGGCCAACAATCCCCCGCTCCCTGCTCTCGGTACTCGGCACATGCACTGGGCTCAGGCCCAGGCCTGGGGTCAGTGACGGGTGGGAGTGTACAACACAGAGAGTAGTGATTGCAGTTTCAGCTCCAGCAGCCGCCAGAGGGAGGGAGAAAGACTGATGAACTGTAAGTTAGGCCTCTTGGCTCTCTTCAGCTCTGGATGAGCTCTTCTTCCTGTAGCCTTAACCAAGTGACTGGGAAGCTGGGGAGTGGCAGAGCTGGCTAAGTGCGAGCTGGGTGGTACTGCTCTTCTATGTGCTCCTCTTTCTTGCTAGCAAAATCTCACTGATACTACAATAGATACTTTCCTTTCTAGACTCCAAAGGGGTAAAGGGCAGAAGGGCTTGGAGATTCTTCAGTTCCATCAGCTCTGATTCAAATATGGTGGCACTTGCTGCTAACCATATTAGACTGTCACTATATCCATCCTTCTATCATATATGGGGGAAGCTCTGGTGGCACAGTGCCTAAGGCATTTGACTACTAACCAGAAGGCTGGCGGTTCAAACCCACCAGCCACTCCTCGGAATAAAGATGGGGCAATCTACCTCCACAGTGATGTTGCCTTGGAAACCCAAGGAGCGGTCACTATGAGTCAGATCTAACTCAATGGTAGTGAGTTTGGTTTTTGGGTTATCATATCTGGAACCCAAGCTTAAGAGGATCTGAAATCTTGAGCAGGAACATAGGCAGGTTCCACCTCCTTGCCAGAGTCCCACAAGTTCCTTGGTGTGCACACTAAGGAAGGAGGGTTATAAAGCAAAATTTTGGTGGTTACAGTGTGGGGCATGACCTGGTAGAGTGCTACTATAAAATTCTAGGAAAATAAATGGAATGAGTAAAGCAGTCATATGGCTGTATCACAGTCTACCCTAGGAGTCTGTAATAACACTGAGTCTTTTGCTTTTAAAATCAAACAGCTTGCTATTAAGGGCAAAGATCCTTAATAGTAACAGCACAAAAAAGAGAAAACGCTCTTCATTACAAAAAGTTCCTTGTCATTCATCTCAGTCCTCACCATTGTCAACTAGGGTCCTATTGGCTTTACATTCATGTTATTCTCCAGGTTAAAATGATAGAAAACAGACTGGGATAAGAGGAAGAGACTGGTGAGGGGCATACCAGAGATTGATGGGGATGGCAGAGAAGATATAATATGGCTACCACCAGGCTAGTTCTTCTTGGAAGGAGCTAAGAAATAAGGGGAAAAGAATATAGAAAAGCAACTTCTGCATTCTCCTTAGGGAAGAGCCATGTGTTCCCATATACTGCTGTAAGTAGTGAGAGAGGACATTTAAATAACTTTCTGTTTTTAGCATTACGGAGCTCTGGCTAAGGCACTTGACTGCTAACCAGAAGGCTGGTGGTTCAAACCCACCAGCCACTCCTCAGAAGGAAGATGGGGCAATCTACTGTAGTGATACTGCCTCAGAAACCCAAGGAGGGGTCGCTATGAGTTGGGTCCCACTGGACGGGCACATAACAACAACAACAACAAGTGTCCTTCTAGGAGCTCTGGTAGCATAGTGCCTAAGGCACGTGACTGCTAACCAGAAGGCTGGTGGTTCAAACCATCAGCCAGTCCTCAGAAGGCTGGGCAATCTACTTCCTAGTGATGCTGCCTCGGAAACCCAAGGAGGGGTTGCTATGAGTTGGGTCGACTCGACAACGGCACATAGTAACAGCAACAACAGGGTCCTTCTATCACAGCCATGACTGTTCCAAGGCAGCTTTGCATGTCTAGACCAAGTGAAAAACGCGTGTAAGGCAAGGAGTGGTAGGAGGTGAGAAACATTGGTTCCAAATTCCTTCACTTTCCTTGGGATACTAAAATCCATACTCTTGTAGGTACACTTGCTTAAAGTACCGTGTGTGACTATTAGGCTTCAACCATTCCTTTTTTTTCAAGTTCCAAGTTCCTAACTGGCCCAGCGTCCAGATTCCTTCAGTTCCTTAAATTCATCATTCTCCTCCTACGGGAGAATGGGAAAGGATGTTTTTCAGAACCCAGAGTAACCTAGTCTTTAAGGGTAGTAAAAGCAGCATTGGTGCAGTGAGGCTTCTCAAGCGGGGAGGCCTCTGGCCCTGGTTAAGAAATAAAGATGAAGTCTGGCGGGTTAAGGCAGGCCACCTCAAGGACTGACCCGGTTCCGCGGCTCGCAAAGAGCCTCGGGTTTCTAAGCTCACATCAGTCTATCGTGGAGCCAGTACGCGGCCCCGTTCTCAAATTCCAGGAACCGCTCACCGCAGCTTGGGATTCTCACCTCAGGCCCTACTGCCTCATACCCATTTTCCGGCTCCCGGTTCCCAGCTCCCGACTCCCTCCTCCGCCGCCCGCAGCCTCCAGCCCCCACACTGGCCCCCACCCAGGCTCCAGCGCCCAAGCTAAGCTGCCACTGCTGCAACCGCTGCCATGGTGATGGATCTCGCGAGAACTGCCGCTAGCCGCCGCGGAGTTCTCGCGTGATCCGTGAGGTGGGAAGTATCCTAGTCTGGGAGTTGGGGTGAGCCGTACAGCTCCGGTTGCCGTCGCGGCTTCCGGTGTTAGGTGGAGGGAAGGAGGGAGGGAGCCGGGGAGCGGGGCCAGGGGAGCAGTCGCGCCGAAGTCGGTCGGGGAAGCTGGAAGGAGCAGAGCGAGATCTGAGCAGAACCTGCGGGGGCAGAGGCGGCGGACGCAGGGGTTGAGCGGGGAACTGGAACAGGTGAGGGGTTGGGGAGGGAAGGCGGGTCCCGGTAGTGGAGAGGCTCCGGGGTGGGGGCTGAGGGATAGCGCCCCCACATCCGGCAGTGCCCGGCATGGGGCGGTGTGTTTTTTCCCACCTGGAGCTCGGAAGGGAGGTGCCAGGCCAGTCCCACGCCTGCCCCCGCATTTGAAGGACGCGGAGCTGGGGTGGGGGTGGGCGGCGCATTCGGATTCGTCCTCCGTCTCGCACAAGGGGGCGACCTGGGCTGCAGTTATATTCCCTTTGCCTGAAGGAGGTGGACTCGCGAAGGGTCGGGGTTGAAAGGGAGGAAAGCCGTCCAGAGAGCGCTGTTGCGGGGGCGGTGATGGCTGTTTTGTATCTTTTTTCTGTTAAAAGGCTAGGGAATGCCTTTTTCTCCTACCCCCTCTCCCTCCTCCACCTGGTAGCTGTAGGAGACTAGAGAGAAGCCTTGCTGTGGTGACGTCCTTCCCCCAATCATGGGGCAGGGGTGCGTAACGGGGCTTAGAGATGAGCTGGCAAGGCAGGCTAGTGGGGCACTCCGGGGGCACTATTCTAGTGGAGGTTCGCTTTCGGGTCCTGGAAACCGCAGATAGGGAAGAGGGCAGCAGGTGGAGAGAGGGAGGAGAGGAGGCGAGGAGACAGAAGGGGAAGGGGGATCTGATCTTGCTTGGAGAATAGAGGTGGGGCCTTCCTCCCTCAGGCAAAGCGGGGGCGGTCTCACAGGAGGAGGGAGCATCTTGTGGCTGGCCCCGAGTGTGTGTCTTCCAATCCGCTTTCTTTCTGTAGGAAGTACCAGGATTCCCGGAACAGAAAATGGAGCCATTGCTTACACCGTTTTCGAGGGAAGGAGGGGGAGGTGGACGTCCCTTTTAAAAAGATCCAATTGATTAGCAAAGTAGTAGCTCCTCTGTTTTGGAGACTTCCCTTTTTTCTGGGTTGTATTACTGCCCGCTTCAAAGTCTCTATCTGGCCAGGCCAGGATGAGTGGTGGTGGAGGTAGAGAGGAGTGTGGTGTGTGGTCATAAGTGAAAAGAAATAGTGAGGTAATTCGGGTGAGGGAGAGGTGTAACTTAAAACCTTCCTCTGCTGCTGTTGGATTGGGTCACTCCTGGTCTGTGGCATAAAAGTTTTATTGGGAGGAGATCTGCTGTAGGAGTCTGATTGCTTGGGCCAGTACAACAGGACTGAATCTAGTCTCTGCAGCCTCCCTTTCTGCCCCCATCAGGTAGGTGGTGACAGTCTTTGCTGCCATTCTGTGTTAGGCATGTTGTTAGGCAAGTGTCTCCACTTGCTGTGACAGGCATGGGACAGAGGAGTGGTCATTGCACATTAGACTCAAGGCTGAATAACATGTTTGTAAAAGCTCATTCTAAGAAAGAGGCTCATCCTTTGAGGTTCAGAATGAATCACTGACCTTCGATCCAGCTTAGAAAGGCCCCCATGTATCATGTACATATCAGAAGATGCCTCCTGCTGCTCAGCATAGAATTATTTAAAAAGTCAAAATTTTTATATGTGTACACCTTACATTTCCAAAGAGACTAAAAGATTCTTGAGTGCAGGAATTAGATCTAATTTCTTGTCTCCCAGAATACCTGTGCACACAGTGTGCACACACAATGAATGTATAAGTGAATACAGGGTGTAAATGGATAGAACTCAGCAGATTTTCTGACTACAGTTAAAGGAAAAGGGAAGAAATGACTTAGCTGTCAGGGAGAGTGCCTGGAGACAACCAGCCGAGGACTCAGAGACCTTTGCACTCTGTAATTAAGAAATCTTAGTCCCTCTGCCTTCCTGAAAGGCACAACATAGTCATGGATAATGGAAGCTAAGACCTAACGAGAAAAATATTCCTCAAACGTAGGATCATTATTGATATGAAATCGCAGATCTCTTTCCTTCTCATTGTGAGTGAAGTGGCTGTCATTATAATTAAGTCCTTGAAGTCTTGTCTGTGAGTTGGGATCCTGGAGATAGCAGTGCAGGGACCAATAATATATGTATGTGGTGCCTGGCACAGCATTGATGCCAGTGAATGGTAGCTGCTACTATTATCATACTGAATCCAAGTACAGAAGAGAGCAGACAGCAGGCTGGAAAGACTGGAAGCGCAATCTTATGGTCACAAAGAGTGTATGTTCGTCTGTTTCAGTCTCTATTTCACTGGAGTTAGAATAAGAGGAAATGGATTCAGAGGACGGTGGGATTTGTTGGTTAGCAGGAGGAACTTCTTTAAAACCAGGTTTATTAAGGCTGAGTGTGTGCCTGAGGGAAATTATGGAATCTCCTTACCAGATAGCTTTAGAAATGGATGCCAAGAGGCCTAAGACTCAAGGCATATCACTGTGTATGGATCTCCTCACTATTTTGGTTGCAGGTGAATTTAGAGGCTGAATAGTGTGGTAATTGAGTGTGTGTGGCTTTGGAATCAGACAAAATTGAGTTCAAATATTGCCTCTGTGAATTACTAGTTGGATGTTTTTGATGAAATTACCTGGCCTTTCTTAGTTTCATTTTCATCATATGCAAAGAGAATAATATTACCTACCTCACAAGATGGGCATGAGAATTGAATGAGATAATATATGTAAAGTGCTTAGTGTTGTACAAAGCACATAGTAAACACCAAATATATTTGCTGATAATAATCATTATCATGATAGTAACAATAATATGAACACTCAGGGATATCTTAAAGGAGTAGAGGTTTACAAACACAACTTGCCGCCTGAGGCGCCTTTGTGGAGGGATGATTGTTACCATGACTTTCTGTGCTGGTTATAGGCTTGTGAGCAATGAAATCTTTTTTCAGCCTCAGCCTCACAGAAGCAGCTCCTGCTGCCTGAGTGGGAGGTGAAGCTGGAGCCAGGCAGGGGCCCTGAACATCCACATGGATGTAGGGTAAGGAAGTGGGGGCTTGAGAATAGTGCTTATGTTAGAAGAGTCAGCATGACTCAGAGGTATTGGTTGACTCTTCCATAAAAGAGCACCCTGGGTGACTTTAGGTTCGTAGGTCCCATTATGTTAGGCTTCAACCATTATTCCAAGATCCTTCATTTTTCATTTCCTGGGCCACTCTTCCTATTTAGTTGTATCTCTTTTAAATGTCTGCCTCTGATTATCTGTTTCAGAATGTACTGTAAATGTCCAGATTGTAATTACATCTTTGTAATTCTCCATCAACCAAACCTTTTCAGCATCTGTCGTAAATATAGGTAGAGTACTAATAAAGCATTTTGATAATGAAAGACAAGGGGAGCATTTTGAAAGAGCCTCACAAATGTTTGGAAACTTTGGTATGTAGTCTGAGAAAGAACTGACTGAAGTAGGGATTTGACAAATGCATGAGAGCTTTGTAATAAACTTCTGCAAAGGATCTGCCATATTGTATAGACCAGTAAAGGAAGTGCTTCGAGATTTCAGAGATCCAACATTATCAGCATATACCTAAAGAAAGGTGAGATGACTAGGTGTGACAGGTCTCCTGGTACCTTTTAACACTCCATTACTGGTGAGAGCCTGACACAGTCCTCCTTTTATTAACTTATGTGCAAGAGTGTCCAGCATGAATGTTTAAATGTCAACCTATGTTGAGGATGTAGTAGAGCATTTGTTCTCTTTTGCCATGGTTTTTGTCCTTTATTTAAAAGCAGTCAAACCTTTCCTTAAATGAAATCTTGCTTGCTTTTACATATAAAATGGATAAAAGTGGAGTTGATTTGGTAGTGCTGGGGAGTTGGGAGAATATTAGAGCCATCATATGATTCCTCCTCCCTACCCAGGCAGCCTCGAAGTCCTGTCCAAGGAACCTAGGGCTCTGAGAACATGGAAACCACGTCTCCAGTTTGTCAGATACAGGAAAAGCATTGAGGACCAACTATAGAATTCTGTCTCTCTCAGCCTTACAAATGTTTTTCCACTATAATGAGAACTATGCTCTTCAACAGCAAGCATTTGCTACAGGTCAGTCATGGTGCTGAATTCTGGGGACACAACACAATAAACATGGTCCCTGCTGGCAAGGGGCTCATAGTTTCAGTGAAGTACTTCCTAGCCTTTTCTCTGTTACGGAATACACAGAATAGTGATAGCGATACACACACACCTGCTTGAAACCTGAGATCACTGGCCCAGGGGTTCTAGTCATTTCATGCCCTGCCCAACCATCCAGTGGCTGGTGGGATCAGTATCTCCAACTGACCTGTACAATACATTAGAGGAATATTGTCTGGGATTCTGTTCTGGAGCGAGAAACAGACAAATATGATTAAACATAGAGCTTTGGTGGTGCAGTGATTAAGCATTTGGCTCCTAACCAGAAGGTCAGTGATTTGAACCTACCAGCTGCTCCATAGGAGAAAGATGAAGCAGGTTATTTCTGCAAAGATTTATAGCCTTGGAAACTTGGGAAAAAAAAGTTTGGCAGTTCTGCTCTGTCCTGTAGGGTCACTGTGAGTCAAAATCAAGTCAGTGGCAATGGGTTTAGTGGGTGGGTTGTAAGTCCTAGAGTAGAAGTGTGTTTGAGGTACTGAGGAAGCAGGTAGCTCTTAACTACCCAGCGCAGACAGTTTTCTATTCACTTGTTTCCTTAAGCTGTTTTATAATGGTTGGCTTTGTCCATATCTTAGCTTCCTATTTGATTTGTTCACTGTCAGCTGCTGTCTTGACCTGTTCAGTGGGACCAGGCAAAGATTTAGGGCTTTAGGCTAACAACATGAAATTTCATTTTGCAGTTGGGCAAGCACAGTTTTCTGGATATCTAAGGCCATAGGTGTGGACACTGAAACAGCTATAGATTATCATGAGATGCAACAATTGTAAGCTGGTCAGATTCTCAGAATAGGGCAAACTGAAAGCTTAGGTCAGAGGGTAGTGCCACAGAATGTTACAATGAAACAAATGAGTCTAGTTTTTATCTGGTCACTATTTTATCTGGCTAGGTCATGCATCCTGGTATATATGTATATATGTATATGGATAATTTTTTTAAAAAA